CCCTCTGCTAGCTCCTCCCTTGGGACAAGCACTTAGGGAAGGGTGCTGCACCAGGCCCCTCCTCCCTGGCTGGTCAGCTCCTGCTTCCTGGGGCCCTGCAGGACCCCGGCTGGGCAGGAGCAGTGGGAAGGAGCGAGAAGGCGGCTGTCACAGGTCGAGCCGGAAAGCCCCGAAGTAACTGGCTGCTGCGTCGTTGTAGTCGATGGCCAAGGAGGAGACGGAGACAAAGAGCTCATCCCCGGCCTTCAGCTCAAAAAGCCCCCCCTGGTAGAGCGCGTGGAGCCCGTAGTCCGCCTCGGGTGCCCAGCACTTAGTGCCCACCCCTTTGAGCAGGAGGATGGGCTGGCTGTAGGATGTCTTCCAGTTGATGCACTGCACCAGCTGCGGGACGGAGCCCCGCGTGCCAGCCATGTCGCTGGGGTAGCGGAAGTAGATCTGGGAGTACACGTAGTACTTGCCAGCCTGGTTGACCTGCAGGCGGCCGTCCTGGTACGTGATGTTCTGCAGGTGGGAGTGGATGGTGCTGTCCTCCCAGCGTGCAATGGCGTGGCGGCATGACTGAGAGAGGTTCCCGAAGCGCCGGGTGTTCCCTGGGGAGAAGGAAGAGTCACCAAGGGCAGCGAGATGCTCTGGGGAGCGCCCACTGAGGTCAGTAGGAAGGGAGGGCATGGCTCTAACTCTCTCCCACAGTCATCCAGCTTGGAGGGGTGGAGAAGGGGGTCTTGGACCTGACAGGAGACCCCTCCCACATCCTCCCGTCCTGGTCCCCTGCCCCTTGGGTGAGATCTTTCCCCCCGTTCCCATCTCAGAACCCGCCGGTGCCCAGTGGGGTTCTCCAGCTCACCGTCCTGGGCCAGGCTCTGCGGGCGCAGGGTGAGATGTGCCGAGGGTTTGCCGCTGGTTTTGGGAGGAACCCGCCCCTCCGAGGTGTTGAAGTAGCTCCTCTGGGCCTCTGCGAGTAAAGGGACACAGGCCGTAGAGGACAGGGAGCGTGGGGACACTGAGCCCCATGCCAGCAGAGTAGGTCCTTCCTGAACAAGCAGGGAAATGGCCCACTGATCCGTCAAGGAGGAAGGTTCTTTTGGGGTGGAAATGCCTAGTCAATCATTACCCAACATGTCTGTGTTGCCCCAGGTTCCCTGGGCTCTGGACAGAGGTATGTGGCTGTCCTTCTACCCCATTCCCCACGACGTGTGTCCTTCATCCTCCCAGTGGGACTGTCCCTGCTCTCCCAGCACCGTGGCCGGCAACCCAGTCCCAGCAAGGAGGCTGTCAATGCTTTGCCCCCTGGTGCTGGGCCAGGAGGGACTCACCCTTCACCACGCTCCTGCGGATCACGTTCTCCGTCACCTGGACCCACAGAGAAGAGACACAGACCCATGGTTAAAGCTGAGACGGGTGCTTTCCATGTTCCAGAACCCCTTCGCACTTTCCAAGCCTCCACGACTTTGTCTTTCCTGCTGTCTCTGGGCTCCACCAGCTCCTCACTGGTGTCCATCTCAACTCCACCACCTCCCTCTGCAACCATCCTTGCCAGCGCCTTCTGCCACCCCTCTGGTGAGGAAACTGAGGCATTGGCTCCCACCCTTCCCTCGTCCCCAAAGCCGGCAGGCCCAGACTCACAGTGGCCACATAGGCCTTGATGGTGTTGGCCAGCTTGAGGCAGGACTGGTTGCTGATGAGCTCCTCCAGGCTGGAGCCCTCCTGCTGCTGGTTGATGACCTGCAGGCACCGCAGCTCCTCCACGTTGCCTGGCGCCTGGGCTTTGAGCTGGAACAGAAACACCCCGACACCCCCACGTCAGCCTGAGCCACACCACGGGTGGGGAACAGCCCAGAGCTGCCCTGATCCTGGAGCTGGTGTTCTGCCAGGCTGCAGCTGCTGCCTGTGTCTCCTGTGCTGGGGGGCAGGTAGGTGGCAGGAGGCTGGGTAGTTCTGTCTGGAGTTTGTGACATGCATGGCTTAAACCTTATCTTGTCCTCCCATGCTCCCTGGCAGAAGCGGGTCTTGCTCATCCCAGCTCTCTGGGAAACGCAACAGCCCATTTCGCTGAGTTCCAGGCCCATGAGCAGGGAGAAGGTAAGCACCAGGTAAAGAAAAGGATCCCAAATTCCCTGGTCTCCACCTCCTTCACCTCTTCCTCTCCTGGATTGAGGGAATGAGGCTTCTGAAACAGTAAAGCCCAGCCTGAGGTGCTTGCAGCTCTGGGGAAAGTACCCAGCCTCGTCTGTGCTCCTCATGCTTCCTGCTGTGGAGCTACACCAGGGTTGCAAAACAAGCTCCAGGCAGCTCCATCCGTCCAGCTGCAGCTGGAGATGGGTCCCCACGCACTCGGTGCTGCGTCAGCACATGTCAGACCCTTCCTAGCCTCTGCTGGCCTCTGGCTTGGGCTGGGAACTTTCCCTCCACGTGATGGGGGCCCTTTCTGAGCCTGTCCCGGGCCTGCCCCAGCTCTTCTCCAGCCCTGGCATCACACTGGGGACAGGCACGGTGGCTGCTGTGGGTGCTGCTGTTTAGGGTGTGGGGAAACAGGCGCAGATAGGAGAGGGCTGCTCTGAAATCAGGAACTGGGGATGAACACTGGCACATTGAACATCCTACCTCTGCTCCCTGGGTAATTCCCAGATCCTAGGACAGAACCCAGGAGTCCTCAGGATTGGCCACATCATCACCTGGGGCTCAGCCACCTCCAGCACCCTGCGCTTCCCCATGTCTCTGAGGGCTCCGAGTCCCCACCAGACCTTTTGGGTACCCACTTTGCCTTGTACCAGGATGTGCTCCTCTGGGATCAACAGACTTTACTGCCGGCAGAAAGACTGCGTGAGGTCAGATGAAAAGGGGTGGGTTTTTAGAAGGAATTTTGGACCAACCATCCCTCCTAGCACCAGATGGACCCACCAGGAGCACAGAGGCTGCGGTGCTGGGCTCAGGGGACCAATGTGGCTCATGTTGGGGAGAGCGTGGCCCTGCCTTTATCCCAGGCTTTATCCCTGGCAAAGCCTTGCCTGCCCCAAGGGCAGGACACACAGTGCCTACCAAGGTGGTAAATCCCCAAGTGACAGAGCTGCTCCCATGGCACTCCACAGCAGGAGAGCATGCTTGGGCAGTGCCAGCGCCCACAGCTCCTCCACTACCAGGAGCACCGATTATGGTGTGTGCCTACACAGCTAGGGAGAGCCCTTCTCCTTGTCCTCTTCCTCCTCCTCCTCCTCCTCCCAGGCCCGGTAAGGCAGGTCCCCGGGTAAGATGGTGGCACATCCCCAGTGTGGGGATGGCAGCCACATGCCTTGTCCCTCCTGACAAAGGCCTGGAACTGACTGATGACACTAAGTGCTTGACTAAAGCTTGCTGTGACAGGTTGCCCATCTCACCAGCATCTCTGTCTTTGCAGGGTCTCTACCACCTGGGACCCTTGCACTGAATGGGGTGTTTAAATTACAGGAAAAGTGGGAATGGTTTGTAAAACTGGGAGCACAGGAGGTACCTGGGTGAGGGGGAGAGGGCAAGGTGGTTGTGCTGAGGTTCAGTGAACCTGGAGATGCTGAGCTCTGACCCCAGCACTGATCCCATGTGGGGATGCAGTGGCCAGCCTCTGAGATTAGCTCAAAGAGGTCAATTTAAGTGTCTCTTCTGACCACCGCTTCCCATGGCTCCATCTGCCCACAGTCCCCTATTCTCCCCAGCCCCTTTCATGCAAATCCCTCACAGCAGGATCCAGGGATGGAAACAAAGCCTCAAGAGGGGCTGAAGCTGCTCCAGAGGATGCTCCACCGGGCACCAGACAGCAGTCAGGGGCTGGACTTTTCCCTTGTTTTCCCTGCTCCTGCTGTGGTTTTAAGCAAACCTGAGCACAGCAGGACACCTCTCTTGCCGGGCAGTCCATCTGAAGGGATGGAGTATCCTGGCATCCCTGGGATTCCCTCTCCCTGGTGCAAAGGTCTCTTCCCTTTGGCATTTTCCTCTCCTGGGTGCTCCTGATGGCTGGGAGCCTGGTTCAGACTGTGAACAGATCAGGTCCCTCACATCCGACTTTGGCACAAGTGACGCTGGGAATGCCTGCGTCCCAGCACAGTTATTTGGGGTGACTGAGCTGCCGCAAGCACCCGAAGGCTGCTGGTATGGGGGGGTGGGGGCGCAGCCAGGACCCTTCCACCACCTCCCAAAGGGGGTGAGGAGGATTTGGAGCTCCAGAGCGGGGTGGGATGCAAATGGAGGGAGCCCAGAGCAGCCCCCGTCCCCCCCGGGGCTGCGTGCTCTGATGGGACCCCAGGACAGGGCCCCGGGCCCGGGCGGACCCTCAGCTTCGGCCGCAGCCAGGACAAAGGATCCTTCTCTCCACATCTGGCTCCAGAGGGAGCTCAGGGCAGAGCTGCCCCCCCCCCCCCCCCTTCGGCTCCGCATCTGGCGGGGCAGCGGCGCAGGGCGGGGAGCGGGCAGAGCCCTTCCCACACGCCCCGGGGTGCAGCTCCTCGCCGGTCCCGGGACCCTGCGCACCAGAACGGCTCGCAGAGGTGTGGGGGAGGCAGGAGAAAGCCCCCGCCGACGGGCTCACCTTGGAGATGGCCATGGTGAAGTAGACGAAGAGGCCGGTGGTGCAGGCGATCTGCAGGGCGAGGATGGCCATGACGGCCACGCTGCCCCAGAGCGGCCCGCACCGCCGCCGCCGCCGCGGCGCACCGGGACCGGAGCCGGAGCCGGAGCCGGAGCCGTCCGCCAGCATCGGGGCCTCCGAGCCGCCGCTGTCGGAGCGCAGGTACTGCCCGGCGCTGGGCTGGAGCGGGGTCATCGGCCGGCCCTGGCCTCTCAGCTCCAACGGGGCCGCGGGGACGGCGGGGACGGCGGCGGCGGCGGCGGCGGGACGGACCGTGGAGGGGCGGGACAGGGGTGGTCATGGGGCGGGGCCTCACGCAGACACCTCCCGGGGCATCGGGACCTGCGGGGGCGGTCCTTGGCGTGCGGACACACGGCTCCGGGCAGCGGGACCCCTCCGGGGCTGGGCGGACGCGAGCCGAGCCGAGCCGAGCCGAGCCGGTGATGGGCGGCGCGTCCCTGCGGGGCAGCAGGTCTGGCCGAGGCTCGGCTGGGCGCCCCTGGGAGCGCCGATAGGTAAAGGATTGCAGGAAGCGGGCAACTGCTGCTGGGCATCATCCCAGGCCTTGCCTAGGGGGGATACAGAATCAGAGAATGATGGATTGGTTTGGGTTGGAAAGAACTCTAAAGATCATCCAGCTCCAGCCTCTGCGACGGGCAGGGACCCCTTCCACTAGAGCAGCTTGCTCCAAGCCCCTGTGTCCAACCTGGCCTTGAACACTGCCAGGGATGGGGCAGCCACAGCTTCTCTGGGCACCCTGTGCCAGCGCCTCAGCACCCTCACAGGGAACAGCTTCTGCTAAGAGCTCATCGCAGTCTCCCCTCGGGCAGGTTAAAGCCATTCCCCTTGTCCTGTCCCTACATCCCTTGTCCCAAGCCCCTCTCCAGCTTTCCTGCAGCCCCTTCAGGCACTGGAGCTGCTCTCAGGTCTCCCCTTCAGGAGCCTTCTCTTCTCCAGGCTGACCCAGCCCAGCTCTCTCAGCCTGGCTCCAGAGCAGAGCTGCTCCAGTCCTTGCAGCATCTCCGTGGCCTTCTCTGCACTCGCTCCAACAGCTCCACGTCCCTCTGGTGTTGCTCCTCCCAGAGCTGGATCAGGACTGCAGTAGGGGGACTCCCCAGAGCACAGCAGAGGGGCAGAATCCCCTTCCTCAACCTGCTGCTCATGCTCTGGGGATGCGGCCCAGCATACGGAGGGGTTCTGGGCTGAAGAACCCACCCCTGCTGGGAGCAGGGCAACTGTCCTGTCTGCCAGCTGACCCCACAACGCTCTGTCCTGCAGAGCACCCAGTCACTCCGGAACAGAAACACTGAGCTGTTTGGAAAGCAAACAGAAAGGCTGGAGAGATACCTGCTCTGCAGTCAGGTGAGTCTGTGGCTTTTAGTGCTTTTGCCTCTGCAAGGAAACGAGCTGTTGATAAAACCCACAAGACTCCGTCCCCTCCAGAACTGCTCCCTCCTCTCCTGGGATGGGGTGTGGGAAATGCGGCTGTCCCAGCCCGCAGCAGGGAGCTGCGTTCCCTCAGCCAGGCTGTGAACCAAACCCCTGCTAGGCCCCGCTTTGGTCCTTAAAACCCTCTGGGGTATTACAGTCATAACACTGGGGCAGGATTAAACTGCTCTTTCTGTGCTGGGTCTTGCAGAGTGTCTGTTATCCAGGGACCCCTGACCTGGGGAACAGGGAGAGCCGGTTGGAATATGCAGCTACATCAGTGCCTTACTTTATCAGTGCTCTTACTCAATGCAGGGGTTTTAAATTCTCTTTTCAAAGAGGAACTCATCCCACTCCACATCCTGCATGCCAGGGCCGGCACTGCCTCTTTCACGGAATCCTGGTGCCTCCCCTGGCTTTGTGCAGACCCGTTTCCCGTATGGAGCCCCAGGATGCAGGAGGAGGCAACTATTCCAGGCAAAAATTAAAAGGGAAAAGCAGCTCTAGGTCCAGATTATCTTCTTCCTGATGTCTTTGTGAGGCTGGGAGGAAGCAGCAAGTCCCCCTCAGGTCCCTAATTGCCTTGGACATGGGTAGGGGGACAGAATTGTCCTTTTCCTCAGTTGCCAGGTCAGGAGCACTAAAGCAAACCACTCCTTCCAGTCCTGCTTTTGTGCTTACACATTCCTGCCCGTCCTTGCAGGTGGTGCCCATGTCCCTGCAGCACTGCCAAGCTCCTCACCACAGTCAGAGCACAAGGCAGATGAAGAGGAGGAGGAGGATGAAGCTGTTTGGGGGTCCTTCCCCAGGAGGTGGCACTTGGAGAACTATGGGGGCTGAGAGCTGGTCCCCTACACATCCCTATATGTGAGGGCCCCATTCTCCAAGCTGCCTGTGTGCAGAGAACAGCATACCAAAGGCTCAAGCAGGTCCTGCTTCCTCTTCTGTCTGATTTGGAGCAATACAAGGGCAGGTAGTGACAGGACAAAGGGGAATGGCTTCAAACTGCCAGAGGGGAGACTGAGCTGAGCTCTTAGGCAGAAGCTCTTCCCTGTGAGGGTGCTGAGGCGCTGGCACAGGGTGCCCAGAGAAGCTGTGGCTGCCCCATCCCTGGCAGTGTTCAAGTGTCAAGTTGGACACGGGCTTGGAGCAAGCTGCTCTAGTGGAAGGGGTCCCTGCCCATGGCAGGGGTTGAAACTGGATGAGCTTTAAGGTCCTTCCCAACGCAAACCAGTCTGCGGATACTACTGTGGATGTGCTGCTGCATGGGATGGGCAGGACACGAATGGGCTGTGCTGGGGAGCAGAGGGGAGCTGCAAGAACCTGGTATGCTGGAGCTGCTATTGGTGCCTGCTGGGAGGTTCGCCCAGCAGGCGGGCTGTGAGTCAGGGCAGCACTGGAGCCAAGCTGTGAGCAGATACCTGGGAGGGAGCCAGCTGGGAGAACCAAGCCCTCCTGCTCCGGCCCAGGAGCTGCTTTCACTTCCAGTGTTTCCAGGTCTGTGCCCTGGCAGCGCCAGCTCACCCAGCCTGCGCCCGGGTTTCCTGAGCACTGTGGTGCGGAGCAAGTTTAGAGGAAGGTGTTTGCGGGCTCTGGCCGTGCTGCCAGCAAGGGGCTGGGCTGGGGGGTGTGAATTGTGTGTCTGGGAGTTTGCAGCCCGTCCCTTGGATCCGCTTCAGCTTTGCCTCAGGAAAGGAGGCTGTGATTTGACCGTGTTTATAGTCCCGTGGTTCACAGCGGTGACAGGACGGGCTGGGTTTGGGCCAGGCTGGACCCTCTGGAGCCAGGCCCTTCTCCACCTCCGGGACAGAGCTCTAGTGCCAGATCTCAGCTTCCCGGAGCTGTGCCTTTAAGGCAGCCCGCAGCCTGGCCTGGTTTACTGAGCGGCTGATGCTTCCCAACACGTGGTGGCTGCGTGATCAGCCCCCCGGGATGTGGAGTCATTGCAGCTCAAGAAGCCCTCGCTGCCTCTCCCCGCCCTCTTCCCCCCCCGCGCTGTGCTCTGTGTGGGTTCCAACTGCTTCGGGTCACTGGCAGGAAGACGTTGAGCTCAGAGTGTCCTGGTGCTTGTTCATTCAGGATAGTAACAGAATGCCAGCCTGGTTTGTACTGGAAAGGACCTTAAAGCTCATCCTGTCCCAAACTCCTGCTTCTCCTCACACAGCATGGATCAGCCACAGGACCCACCACTGCATCCCAAAGATGTGTCTGTCCCAGGGCTGCTCCCTGAGCTGGGCAGTGGGACACGATGCCGGGTTACATCGTGTCCCCAGGGTCCGGTGGGGAGGAATGGCCAGATTCTTCCGGTGAGCCCCTTCTCTGGGCTGGGATCCCTCATTTAGATGATGTCCCTGCTCATTGCAGGTGGTTGGACTAGATGAGCTCTGAAGGTACATTCCAACCCAAACTGTTCTGTGATTCTATGATTCTATATCCCAACCCTTCTGCTCTCCCACGACAACAACTGATCTCACTCCCTGTATTGGGACCATTCCCTGGTCTCCCTGCCTGTGCATACACACTGGCCAAGCTGCTCCACTTGAGACTTGATGCCTTCTTGGAGACTGTGATCTCTTCCTGTAGATGATGATGCCTTCTTGGAGATTGTTATGTCTTCTTGGAAATCATGATGGTTTTGGAGGGGATCTTGGTGTCTTCCTGGAGATCGTGATGTCTTCTTGGGGATCTTCCTCTGCCCACGCTGGGTCAGGCCACCCCTCTCCTCCCTGCATCACTCCAGGCCAGCACTTAAGCTTGAGCCAAGAGGATGAGTTGGGACATGACAGTGATGAAGAGCTCTTGGAAGAGGAAAACACGGCCATGTACAACATCGGGAGTACCCCAGGATCCTGGGCCTCTCTCAGGGCCCCTGTGCTCTGCAGCAGGTTTTTTCAGTGCTGTGTTCTGCCAAGCCTGTGCTTTAGCTGGTGCTCGTTCTGTGTGGTCAGCTTGTGCACGTCTGGCGTGTGCAGCAGCTTTGTGCATCTCCAGTGAGAGCAACATACCCAGTTCCAGGAGTACCTGGGGGGACACTGGAAGTTTCCCCCAACACCAGCACCACCCAAAGGCATCAGGCAGGGCCCGAGGGGACCCAGTCATGGCAGGTTTTGAGCTTGTTGCATTCCTGAAGTTGTCTGGGGCTAGGAATAGAAGCTGAAGTGGTGTCTGAACCTGCCTTCATCAGGAAGCTCCTCTGCATGGGGGTGCTCAAACCAGTGTGGCTTGGCTTCGGTTTTATTTATATCTGTCTTATCCATCTATTTCTTTCTTTCTATCTATCTATCTATCTATCTATCTATCTATCTATCTATCTATCATCTATCTATCTATCTATCTATCTATCTATCTATCTATCTATCTATCTATCTATCTATCTATCTCTATCATCTACCTACCTAATCTATCTATTCTCCAGGGTTGGTTTCCCGACATGAGACCATACAAAGCACCATGCAGGGTTTTGCTGTGGCAGAACAGCTTGTGCTGGTGCAGACACCCTTCAGTGCCCTCCAAAGCTGCTACAGGGATGGAAATAATGTGGGAAGGGCAAGAAAATCCCTGCTCCCCTGTGCTTTATGGGACAACTCTTGTGCAGGAACAGGAGGTTTCTCCTGCACCGCCTGCCTCCAGCTGCTCCAGCAAATTATCAACCCCCCATTCATTGCCATTGTCATCTTTCACCTGCCTTCTCCTTCTCCTCTTCCCAGTGCTGCTGAGGGCCCGTGGGGAAGGGGAATGTGGTGATGCTGCTCCTCCAGTCCCTGTTGGACCTCACACGGGGGGATCTGCACCGTGGCAAACAGAGCTGGGACAGATGGAGGGGTTGCCTTTGGGTTTTGTTGTTCTGAGGAGGTAGAGGAGAGGGGAGGGGAGGAGAGGGGGAGAAAGAGGAGAGGACAGGGAGGAGGAAGAAAAGGAAGAGGACGAGAGGACAAAAAGGTAGAGAAGAAGAAGAGAGAATGTGATAACATAGTTTGCTTCAGCAAAAGCTTGCTTTGTCTTTGTTTTTGCATTGTATCCTGCTTAAGCACAATTGCATAGGTGGATGAGAAGAATAAGTTCCTGAAACTGTGAAACAGGAACAAGGGAATTTTAAGGCCAGATGTAGGATATATGGCAGTCATGCTTGATCAAGCCAACATCTAATCTCGAAGTAACAGAACAAGTTATAAGGGCTTTAGGTACATGCGTGGGGTTAAGTAGATCAACACTTCGTATCAAATAAGACTACAGGCCCTTATCAACTAGCTCTTAAAGGACCCTCCTGGATACGCACAGAAGAAAGAATGAAGATTGCATCAGCCATCGGGAGGTGGGATTTGTCTTCCTGAAATTCCTATGAATATGTAGAAGGCTTGACTATACGAAACTTTGCCTCTGCTGGCAGGTGGGCATGCAGGATATGAAGGCACGCACCCAGTGTTGTGAAAAAGCCTTTGCTCCACTGACTTTGTCCCCGGTTAAATTTTTCTAAAGGTGATCTCCTTTCTCACAGAGAGGAAGAGGAGGAAAGGAAGAGGAGAGGAGGAGGGGGAGAGAGGGAGGAGGACAGTAAAGAGAAGAGAAAAGAACAGGAAAGAAGAGCAGGGACTGGAAGGAGAAGAGGAGAGGAGGAGAGGCCGGGAGGCAGAAGCCAGACCCGCGGCTTCCCCTCCTCTCGCTGCCGTTGGGAGGAGCCGCCGCTCCCGGGCCAGGCGGCTCCCGGTACCGCGGGGCGGGCCGGCCACGGGAGCGGCGGGGGGAGCTCCGGGACTCCGGGTGCCCCGCTCCGACCCCGCTGATGCTGCCCCTGCCCGGCCCCGTCCTCCTCCTCCTCCTCCTCCTTCTCCTGCCCCTCGGCTGCCCCTGCAGCGCGGCCGCCGGCCATGCCATCACAGGCAAGTCTCTGCCGCGGGGGCCTCCGGACCTCACGCCCGAGGAGCGAGCACCGCTGCGGGGCGTAGCGGAGAGGGGGGCAGCGGGTCCCGGCAGCTTCTCCGGCTCCCGCTGTGAGAAGCGAATGCGATTCCAGGGACAGGGCGCTCATTAACGCTGCTTGTCTCCGGACAGAAGCGCTTAAAGGAACGTCGGGAGGGCCCGGGGCCTTCCCCGGCTCCGGGCATGTGTTCTTGTCAGCGGCGCCAAGGGAAGGGGTTTATGGGCTCCTCCGGCGCCGTCACACCCGGGGTTGTGCGCGTTGGGTGGTTGGAGCAAGGAAAACGGCTCCTGAGTGGGAGCTGGGAGCCGGTGGCCCACTGGGGCCTCCTGCTTTGCCATGGCACTCCTTAAAGCAAGAAGTAACTTTAACAGAGGGGATTGTCCCCTCTGTTGTGCTCTGGGGGAGACCCCCCTGCAGACCTGCATCCAGCTCTGGGGCAGCAACAGCAGAGGGACGTGAAGCTGCTGGAGTGAGCCCAGAAGAGGCCACAGAGATGCTGCAAGGGCTGGAGCAGCTCTGCTCTGGAGCCAGGCTGAGAGAGCTGGGCTGGGTCAGCCTGGACAAGAGAAGGCTCCTGAAGGGGAGACCTTAGAGCAGCTCCAGTGCCTGAAGGGGCTGCAGGAAAGCTGGAGAGGGGCTTGGGACAAGGGATGTAGGGACAGGCCAAGGGGAATGGCTTTAACCTGCCCGAGGGGAGATTGAGATGAGCTCTTAGGCAGAAGCTGTTCCCTGTGAGGGTGCTGAGGCGCTGGCACAGGGTGCCCAGAGAAGCTGTGGCTGCCCCATCCCTGGCAGTGTTCAAGGCCAGGTTGGACACAGGGGCTTGGAGCAAGCTGCTCTAGTGGAAGGGGTCCCTGCCCGTGGCAGGGGTTGGAACTGGAGGAGCTTTAAGGTCTCTCCGAACCCAAACCATTCCATGCTTTTGTGACATCCTCAAGTCCTCAGCGCTGCAGGGAGGCAGGAGCTGCCCCTCAGGAGCTGTGCACTAACGTCTCCTTTCTTCTTCAGGCCGTACGCTTGCTCCCTGCTACTCCGCTGACCTTAGGCCAGCATCAGGGAGACTCGTCTCGGCCATGGGCTGCACCGTGCATCTGACGGTTCCACCGCTGCAGGGCGGCAGAGCTGTCATCTGGGAATACAGAACTGCCCAGCAGGAAGGAGCCATCCTCAGTTATGCTTTCGATGGAGCCAGCACCACCTCTCACCCTTACGAGAACCATGTGAGGTTCAACAGAACAGACTTCTCGCTGCAGATGGTGCTGCAGCGGGGGGATGACCGGCTGTACCGCTTCAGGTCCGAGCTGGAGGCCACGGGCTGGTTCCAGCTGCACGTTGTGGGTGAGTGATGAGATAGAAACCTCCCTCCTCTGCAGCCAGAGAGCTGGAAGGTGCTCTGGGTCTGGGACCTGGGGAACTGTGGATTTGAACATCGACAGTCACTCCATCTCTCCTAGAACCACTTTCCAAGCCAGAAATTGTGGGCAACTCATCAGTGAAGGCAGGAGACAACACCAAACTGGTTTGCAACGTCCTGGAAGGGAAGGCAGACGCTTACTGGTGGAAGAAAAACGGAGTGTTGTTGCTGGGGAGCGACCATATCCAGCTTGAGAACACTACCCTGTGCATCCTGAGAGCCTCGATGAATGACAGTGGCTACTACACTTGTGTAGTCCGCAACAGAGTCAGCCAAAATGAAACCTCCTTCCTGCTCCACGTCCAGAGTGAGTGTGGGTTTCCTCTCTGTGCCCAGGAAAAGAAACAGGGGTAATGGCTCCAAACCACCAAGTTTTGGTGGCAGATTTTTGCTTGGAGGGAGTGTGTGTGTGTTAAATTCAGTCTGGGTGCAGACACTGTGGATTCTCTTCTCTGCAGATGCAGCGAATGTGGTGCTGCCCATGATGCTGGCGTGCGTTGTTGCGGGCTCGCTAGCGGGTGAGTGCTGGGCCTGGCTCTTGCCCTGCCATTTTGGCCGCTGCAGTGGGTGCTTGCATGCGAGGAGGGATGCGGGATGAGGCTCTGTGCTGGCTGAGGTGGCATGGTCATACTGGGACCAGGAAGCCTGTCACTGCTGTCATTGCAAGCAGGGCATCCCCTATCCAAGGAGGTTGTGGTGTTCTCTGCTCCCTTCGCTTGCATCCCTGCTCTCAGGGAAGCTTGTCAGGAAAATGCCTGCTTGTACTTCCCTTTCCTTACCTGGCTCAGTCCCCTAAGGACCAACCTTCCCCCTGGGTGCTGGGTGACGTCACACAGCCCTGTACGGTGAGAGCACCGAGCCCTCCTGCGGTCGGTGTTGGTTTCCTGCCCACAGAAGGGCAGCGTGCTTCCTCTTTGCTTGTTTTGCTTTTCCTCCTTTTTTTTCGGAGCTGGAGAGCCAAGTTTTCCAGCCCATCCCCAGGCCCTGGCAAAGTGAGGGTTTTAATTCTCAGCTTGCCGACCTGGAGAGGAAAACAGAAAGAGGAATAAAAGCCCAAGACTGGGATCTGTCAGTTCAAAACAGCAGTAGGAGTTCTCCTGGGTGACTTAGGCTTGTGTTTTGCTACTGCACAAAGTTGCCAGGTTCTTCCTGGGAAAATCCTCCAGGCACTGGACAGGTGCTGGGATCTCCCTTCTGTGCTTCTGTTCCCATCATCCCTGTGATGCTCCTGCCCTACCTGCTCACCCAGAGTGGGGATGGGCAGGGCGGTTTCCTCCAGAGCCCAATGCTTGCCCTGCACTGGAGCACCTGGCTCCAGGTTTCCCAGCTGAACTTTGCCACACTTTGTCCCAGCAGCATCTCTTTGGTGTTTGATGGTGACTGGTTTTTCCGCAGGTCTCTTTGTGTGGTGCAGGTCAAGGAACCACTAGTGTCACAGCGGCTGTAGGTAAGATGCCTCCAGCCCTCTTTGGGGCTGGTCCTGCTCCTCCAGCTGTAGCTAAAAGCCTGAATTTATCGTGAGCTGGACACGTGGGATTGCTCGGGGTTCTTTGCCAGCTGCTCCTCACAGGACCAAGAGGCAGCTGAGGGCTTGCTCTCCACTCTCCAGAGGCTCTAAGGATTTGCTGTCTTCCCTGTTCAGTCCCCACTGGGATTCGCTCTGGAAATATCCTTGATTGCCCCACCCAAAGCCTCATACCACACGTTACTTCTGGCAAAGCAGGCACTGAGCACCCCTGCATGGAGGAGACTTTGAGCTGCTCCAAGCCCATCACCCCTTTGCTCCATCACCTGCTCTCCATCAGTGCTGGCTTTTTAATTCTTGTTGTGCATTTTCTGCAGCGGGATGTGCTGGGGGAAGTGATGGTCCTGTCCCAGGTCCTCCAATTGCAAAAGTAGTCATCAGCTCGTGAGTGGTTTTTGGGAGAGTGGAACCTTGCCCGGAGGGGAAGCACTGCACTTCCCAAAGAGGCCACACTCTGGTTTCCACTAAGACTTTCCAGAGTGGCAGGAAGCAAGCTGCCTCCAGGGTGCAGCAGATGCAGAGCATGAGCAGACCCACTCTGAAAAATGCTCCTTATTGGGTGGGTTGGTTGGAACTCTCCAAAGGTCTCTGAAAGTTTCTGGGAAGTGAGTCTCGAAACCTTCTTGGGTTGTGCTCGCTCTCTGTGACCACAACAAACTCGGGCTGAGAGTGAGGACAAGGGTGTGATCCCCTAAGGATGGAAAACCACACTGTGGCTAGTTGAAAATCAGAGCTCTCATTTGTCTCGTGCAGCCAGGTCATAGGTAACTTCTCCTGGAGATAAGCTGGCCAAGGTAGCTCCTGGAATTTGGAGTAGAGCACAAGCCCAGACCTTCCCAGCACTGCCAGGGCCAGCACTGCAGTGCTGGGAAGTCACCAATGGGGTCTGAGTGAATGGGTCCGCACCCAGGAGATGCCTTGGATGGAGATGTCTCTTCTCCTTGCAGGTAGAGAGCTTGAAGAGCTGTGCCCTTGCTGCCTTCTGCTGATGGTAGGTGCTGCCTGCAGGGCGCTGGACGACCGATGCTGTCCAGCCTCTTCTGGGCTCACCTCTGAATTGCTGAAGGGCTGAACCCCACGAATATTTTTGTGTAAAACCCCAAATTGAGCTGTTCCTGTGCTGTCCTGCTCCTCCCCTGGCACCGTGCACATCCCTGGCAGGGCTGGATGTGGCTGTTGTACTCCAGAGCTCCAGACCTCGCCTGGCTTCCTCCAGAAGCCATGTGGGCTGAGTGCTTGTGGGTGGGCTGATGGTTCTGGAAGGAGGCACCATCCCCACTGGACAGACACCTGGTCCCGGGAACGCTGGTGTGTGCTGCAGTGCCAGTCCTGCCTCCCCAGGGCTCAGGCCACTCACCTTGGCCTCCCGGGGTGCAGCTGTATGCTGTGCCTGGGACTTGCCAGGGTGGATCAGGAGCTGGGACCACGGGCATTCTACTCAGCTTGGTCCTTGGAAGGAGGGAGAAGGGCAGGATTTTGATGTCATGTGACTGGGGAGTCCAGGAGATGTGTGAAGGTGGCAGGGGATGGAGCAACAAAGTTGTTTCAGAAAGCAAAACTCCCCATGCGGGTGTGTTAGAACCACGGTGTGCCTGGAGGGGAGATGCCCCAGCCCAGCTCCTCTGTCTTCCAGCCTCGGGTTCTGGCCATGCCTGGGACATCCTCTCCTCTTCCAAGCAACTGCCACCTGTGTTGTACCTGTGCTGATGTGAGCTTGTCCTTCCCTCCTGCGCTTCTGTGGGTGACGGGAGGTGATGAGAGACTTGGTCTTGTTTGGTTTGGCCAGGGCAGCACTGGTCCATCCCTCTCCTGTCGCTTCCCTTCACCATGCCGCTTCTGTGAGGAGGGTCTTATTTGTTCTTACAGTGGAAATTACTGGAGAAAACTGGACGCTCCCCTAGGAGCACTGAACCTCACAAAATGCCTGGACCGATCGTGGGGCCTGGGTGCTCACACCCATCGTTCATTCCAATAGGTCAGCTCCAGGTCCAGCACCTCACTGAGCCAGCCCCCAGCCCCACTGCGGGGTGCAGGCATTTTGGGTGCCTTGGATTAGCTACTGGATGGTCACATCTCTCCCAGGACAGCTGGTGGCCTGGCGACATCTTGCTCCAAGGCACTGCCAGCAAACGGAGAGTGGCACAGGGGGATGTTTCTGTTGCTTGTGTCTGCTTCTTCTGCAGCAAAAGGCTTTCCTGACCTGAGGAGCAGTGGGTTTCCCTCTCCTTGGAGCAAACAGGAATGCAGGCACGTGATTACAGAAAATACTTCATTGAACCTTTCAGAGTTGCCTGTGAATCATTTTGGAGATGTTTCGGTGTTTTAAGGTTTGCTGCTACTAATAAAAGTGTGTTATCCCTGTTGATACTGTTGTGATCTTCAAGGGTGGGAAATGACCCCTCAGGGGTACCCAAAGGCTGCGGCAGCGCAGGGATGTGCTCCCCGCTGCTGGGCTTTGGTGGGCAGACCTCGGGAATGCTGTATTTCCGCTGATATCCAGCTCTCCTGCATCCCCATCCCATCCCTCACCAAGCAGCCCAGCTTCTCCTGCAGCAGTTGCAGCTCAGGGGCTGAGTTGGCTTTAAAACCAACCCACAGCCTTGCTCCTAAGTCAGGTGAGGGTATTTTTAACTGGTATCAGTGCCCTGAGTCACTGGGACCTGGCACACAGCCACCCTGGCACGGCCAGTAGTCCCAGGGGCAGCTGGACGGGGCAGAGGATGCCACCCGGGTGAGACAAGGCCAGAACTGCCTCTGGGCTTACCCTGTGGGGGCATTTCAGGGGAGGTCTTAGCTTCAGGTTTCACCTGGTGGCCCTTGGGTTTATGCAGGTTTACGCAGAGTGGCTGTGTCTGGAGTCAGAAAAGCCTCCTCTAGGCTGCAGGAAATACCTTTGTGCATCTAACAGCTAAACGTGGTGGGGAAAAACAGCCTTTGGGAAAGGTAGGAAGTATATGAGAGTTTCAGTGTGTCCTGAGCAAATAGGTTCCTGCTTCTGTATGTTGGAGCATGTCAGATGAGCCAGGATGCGCCTGTGGAAGAGATGTTGCAGCATCCAGGTTCTGCATGTCCTCCTGCTTGTGCCCTGCTGTCCTTCCTCATCGTGTGCCTCTTCCCCTTCCCTGGGAAGCCCTGGCAGCTTAAGGAGCCCTGCGCCAAAATAGCAGAGCTGTTAGCACCAGGCTGGGCACTTCAGTCATTTTGCTGTAGAGGGTAGACAGGACCTGACCAAACACCCGTCCTGAGCAGCACAAGTGCTTTGGCCCGCTCGAGGATGCCAAGAAAACAAACTGCTACTGGTAAAGCAAGTATTTCTTTCAAGTTACTACAAAATTACTTCCAGAAAAGCAAGTGTGTGCATATAGTTCAAGCTGCTACTGGAATTACCACTTCCCAAGCAGCAAGTATCTACGTATCTATATACCAGTATCAGAAGTATGTGTATCTGTGATTTATCAATATTAGAAGTACGTGTATCTATTATTAATTTCTTACATGAATTCCTATATATATGTATCGTTTGAAATGTAACTGGTATAGTGCTCGTCAAACCGCTCTCAGGAGTGAGGCCACTCCGTGCCGGACAAAGTCTCCCTGCATGAACGATGCATGGCTGGGAATCTGGAATCAGACAGGCAGCCCTTGATGGGGATGTAGAGTAATTTCTGCAGGGAGAGGCTCCATTTCGGGTAGAACGTGAGTAATTCTTTTATACCATAGCGACGAGAGAGGGCGTTGGACACCACTGTTTGGAGCAGATGTTTCTGTTTTGCCCATAGATCATGTTCTTTCCTGGTTTTGTCGGACCAGTTTTGCTTTCCCAGGCTGTTTCACTCTCCCTCCAGCTGAAGCAGCCAATACCTTTTGCCACTTCCTGCTTTCCCAGCCTGCTTTCCACCTCTTTTGACTAGTTTTCCCCTTTCCAGATGGTACGTCTGTGACTGCTGTTTCTTGATTCTGTGGTTATCGAGGGTACCTTGGGCTGTTCCAGGTTCTTGGTACCCAGCTGCAGTCCTCAGGGATGCTCCTGCTCCCAGGACTGCAGACATCTGCTGCGGGTTTAGCATATGTTT